TTGAAGAACAATCCTATGCTTTTAGAAACGATGTAGGGGCTTTGGTATAAGAGAAAAGAGTCGCCAAAAATTTCGTTTGTATACTACGAATAAAATTGACATGAAGCCATGAAACCGAGCAGTATTTTAGTTGATTTCTTTCTAAGAGATGGCGTTGCAATATGTCAGATAAGGACAGATGAATGAGCGAGACACAACGATATAGATAGGTATAAGAAATGAATGAAAGATGTCACTATTATCGAATTTGGAATGTAAAAAAGTCTGTACTATCGACTTTGATTAACTTCGACCGTCACTCCAGCATCCCCTTAAGGCCGTGGCACATAAAAAAAATTATGACGTAAAACTTAAGCAGTAAAGCCGGGAGCACATAGAAAAACGTAAGTCCGTAAGTCCGGATCTACAATAGGTGTTTTATGCCTTATGCCGTAAGAAACTGACCAATTACCGTCGAATCCGAGAAGAATAAGCGACTGTGATTCGCCCATTTCTTATGGCTTAAGGCTTAAAACCCTATTGTAGATCCAGGGTAAAGCGGGGAGCACAGACTCTTGCATAACGCATAACACATGAGGCATAAGAAATTGAACCAACCAGAGTTCTCTATTACATGGAAGGGAAAGAAACGGAGAACTTCGATTGGTACATATTCTTATGCATTACGTGTTATGCGTTATGCAAGAGTTTGTGCTCCCCGCTTTAGACTTCTGACGTTCTGACTTGCGGCTTATTGTAGAAGGCCCATAAGGAAATCGTAACATTGGATTCGCTATTGGTTGCTACTGTGATTGGTTAATTTACTTACTACTTGCGTGTTACGGCCTTAGGCGTCGTCTACAATACGGAGGCTGCTTTCTTTTTAGGAGACACAGTCGACACATATCGACACAAGTGTCGTTCTATCTTTGTCACTCTCTGAATATCAAGAAGGATAGAACGACATTTGTGTCGACTTGTGTCGATTTGTGTCATCAAATGGAAAGCAGCCGGAGTAAATAGTAAAGCCTGCGGCACACGATGCTTGTTTTCCTGCTGGATTGCTAGCTGGATTAGAATCTTGCCACCGTATTGGAGCCATAAGAAATGGGCGAATCACAGTCGCTTATTCTTCTCG